TTCGCGGACAGCCTGCAGGAGGCGCTGCCTGACCTCAGTGACCGCCCAGAGCCCTCTGACCCCCAAGGTGAGCTGCAATTCTACCTGGTAGTGGCCTTGGCCTTGATCTCCGTGCTCTTCCTCCTCGCAGTGACTCTGGCAATCGCCCTGCACCTTCGTCGCTCCTCTAGTCTGGCCACCTGGGGCTGCTTTCAGCCTAGTGTCTGTTCTAAGACTGGACCAGAGGGGTTTTCCAACTACAACGAGGGAACTTTGCCTTATTCCTACAATCTGTACGTGGCCAATTCTCGGGAAACGGGGTTTAATATTCTCACCATGACGCCAGAAGTAGTCCCCCCAGAAGATCTTTCTAATGAAGCTCCTTTGGGAGTAAATGTCACTGAGGAGGATAACAAGTTGAGCTCTAACTATGTTGCTTCTACTCACGTGAGTTTCAGACTTTCATCTGCATATGGGTTTGGTTTAATTCCTAATATTTAGGAAAGAAAATCTTAAACAGATTATACCTACTGTCAGTTCAAGTTTTTGCCCACTCTCAATATTTTCTGTTCCTTTCTGTGTGGGTCAGTAACTTCATTATTAGCTGTCAAGTATTTTAAATATTTTGACAATTTCACCTGAGTTATTCTTTATCCATACACACACACACACACACACACAATAAAATCTCTCTTACTGGGAGAAGTAGGTATTATGATGCTGCTGCCACTCCAATATTTTTTTGAGTTATAGTCAGTTTATAATGTTGTGTCAATGTCTGGTGTACAGCACAATTTTCCAGTCATACATGAATATACATATATTCGTTTTCATATTTTTCACCATAAGCTACTACAAGATCTTGAATATATTTCCTTGTGGTATACAGTATAAACTTGTTTATCTATTGCATATATACCTCTCAGTATCTACTAATGTCAAACTCCCGGTCTGTCCCTTCCCACCTCCCTACCCCCAGGCAACCACAAGTTTGTATTCTATGCCTGTGAGTCTGTTTCTTTTTTATATTCAATTTCATTTGTCTGGTTTTTTTTTAGATTCCACGTATGAATGATATCATATGGTATTTTTCTTTCTCTTTCTTGCTTCACTTAGAATGACATTCTCCAGGAACAGCCATGTTGCTGCAAATGGCATTATTTCATTCTTTTTTATGGCTGATTAGTATTCCATTGTATAAATATACCACAACTTCTTTATCCAGTCATCTGTCAATGGACATTTAGGTTGTTTCCATGTCTTGGCAATTGTAAATAGTGCTGCTATAAACATTGGGGTGCAGGTGTCTTTTTGAATTAGAGATCCTTCTGAATATATGCCCAGGAGTGGGATTGCTGGGTCATATGGTAAGTCTATTTTTAGTGTTTTGAGGAATCTCCATACTGTTTTCCACAGTGGCTGCACCAAATTGCCTTCCCACCAGCAGTGTAGGAGGGTTTCCTTTTCTCCATACTCTCTCCAGCATTTATCATTTGTGGACTTTTGAATGATGGCCATTCTGACTGGTGTGAGGTGATACCTCATTGTAGTTTTGATTTGCATTTCTGTGATAAGTAGTGATATTGAGCATTTTTGTGTGTGTGTCATTCATATGTCTTCATTGGAGAATTGCTTGTTTAGGTCTTCTGCCCATTTTGGATTGGGTTGTTTGTTTTTTTCTTATTAAGTATATGAGCTGTTTATATATTCTGGAGATCAAGCCTTTGGCAGTTTTATCTTTTGCAAATATTTTTCCCATTCCGTAGATTGTCATTTTGTTTTGCTTATGGTTTCCTTTGTTATGCTCCAATATTTTTAATAGGAACATAATTTTTTCCCTGTAAGTGTTTCTCTTTTTCAGAACATCAATATCTTGGTATATAAGACTTTCTTTGCTCTATCAACTACAAAGTGAGAGGGAAATCCATGAAAAAAAAAAGGCTTTAGAACTACGGACATAGTAATGATTTGATAATATTTAGGTTTATCTGCTAGGGACTCTTTTGCATCCCGTTGAACAAGTCAGTTATATGCCCTTCCTTTTCTCAGAGCTACTTATAGATTTCATCCCAGTTAAATGTATTATTTCATGGCATGCCTGCCAAACATGCTTATCCTCAGAATCTAAGTATGTACATTCATGAAAACACAATAGTGAGAATTTTTCCTATATTTTGATGGGTTTTCAAGTGTATTACCAGTAAATCTCAGTAACTGGAATTACGTTTGTTACCCAGAAAAAGGTAAGTTAGTAATACTCTTTGGGTTTTTTATTTTCCTAAACATTCTTTTGAAATGTAATATATTAGTATACTACTTCCCTTACTTCCAGTTAAATGCTAGTTGTTCTAAAAAATATTAATTTTGTTCTAAAAATATTAATGTGTCTTCTTCACTTAACTTCCTGTTGAGTGTGATTCTGATAATGTGTACAATCACGTTTCTTAATTTTAGGTTTCCATATAGTTGTGAAAAATTTATTTTTAAATAGTAAGTGTCAACAGCTTGTTAAGGTAGTTCTTCCATTTAGGCAAGACTCTATCAAAAATTTGCCCTAGATTTTAGCTGGGTAAGAAATTCTAAATTACTCTTATTATACAGTGTCTTAAAACATGAAACTTCTAAGGAGATTCCCATAATAAGTGACTTTGTGCAGTGGAGTGATATCAAAGTAAGTGTTCTAAAATAATAAGGTTAAATTTACTGTTTAGAGAAACTTCAAATTCATTTAAAACCTCGTTGGAAAAACGGAATATGCCTCCAGCTACAGAAAATAATCTCAAAGTGGCTCTGTATGAAAATTTAGGGAAATAAAAAGAAGCTCACTGAAATTTCAAGTAAAATGAATACTGTAGTTTTAGTTGGCTCCATCCCTATTTGAAGAACAGTAGGTGGAGCTATTTAAGGTCTTAAAACCAAAATCCTTCCCCAGAGTTGAAGATTGTGCAGTAATTGGTTAGGACTCTGAGCGCCGCTGTTCACCAATCAGGGAGAGAAAAGCAGAGTGATCCCGCTAGCCCTGCACGCTCCTGAAGCACAAAGCACAGATAGAAACTAACCATCTTCCGGACTGAGGGTCTCTGGTCTCCCAACTGTCGGATTTTAAGGACGGAAGAGCTAATCCTGACTTAGGTGGTCAAGCGAAGAATTGGAAGTAATCCTTGAGGAAACTGACAATGATTCTTGCGCTACTACACCGGGACTGCACAAAGCTGGTCATGCTGGGAGTTCTCCTGGGGACTCTGTGGGAAACTGGATGCACCCAAATCCACTATTCAGTTCCCGAGGAACTGGAGGAAGGCTCTAGGGTGGGTAACATCGCTAAGGATCTGGGGTTGGAGCCCCGGGAACTGGAGGAGCATGGAGTCCGCATCGTCTCCAGAGGTAGGACACTTTTCGCTCTGAATCCGCGAAGCGGCAGCTTGATCACCGCGGGTAGGTTAGACCGGGAGGAGCTCTGTATGGGATCCCTCAAGTGTCAACTAAATCTGGAGATTCTGATGGAGGATACCGTGAAAATATACGGTGTAGTGGTAGAAGTGAGGGATATTAATGATAATGCCCCCTATTTCCAGGAGGGTGAATTAGAAATAAGAATGAGTGAAAATGCAGCCACTGGGATGCGATTCCCCCTTCCGCACGCTTGGGATCCGGATATAGGGAAGAATTCACTCCAGAGCTACAAGCTCAGTAGTAATACTCACTTCTCCTTGGACGTGCAAAGCGGAGCGGATGGTAACAAGTACCCGGAACTGGTGCTGGAGCGCTCCCTGGACCGCGAGGAAAAAGCTGTTCACCACCTGATTCTCACGGCCTCTGACGCTGGCGACCCAGTCCGCACTGGCACCGCGCGCATCCGTGTAATGGTCGTTGATGTGAACGACAACGCACCAGCGTTTGCTCAGTCTGAGTACCGTGTGAGCGTTCCGGAGAACGTGGAGGTGGGGACTAAGCTGCTTCTGGTAAACGCCACCGACGCTGACGAAGGAGCCAATGCGGAAGTGATGTATTCCTTCCGGTATGTGGACAATAAAGCGGCTCAAGTTTTCAAGCTAGATTGTCATTTAGGGACAATTTCAACAATAGGGGAGTTGAATCACGAGGAATCTGGATTCTATGAGATGGAAGTGCAAGCAATGGATAACGCAGGATTTTCTGCACGAGCCAAAGTCCTGATCACAGTTTTGGACGTGAATGATAACGCCCCTGAAGTAGTAGTCACCTCTGTCTCCAATTCCATTCCGGAAAACTCTCCCAGAGGGACGTTAATTGCCCTTTTAAATGTAAATGACCAAGACTCTGGCGAAAATGGACAAGTGATCTGTTTCATCCAAGGAAATCTGCCCTTTAAATTAGAAAAGTCTTATGGAAGTTACTATAGTTTAGTGACAGACACACTCCTAGACCGAGAACTGGTTCCTAGCTACAACATCACGGTGACTGCCAGTGACCTAGGAAGTCCACCCCTGTCCACGGAAACTCACATCTTTCTGAACGTGGCAGACACCAATGACAACCCTCCTGCCTTCTCTCATGCCTCATACTCCGCCTATATCCTAGAGAACAACCCCAGAGGAGCTTCCATCATCTCTGTGACCGCCTATGACCCTGACTATGGAAAGAATGCCCAGGTCACTTACTCCCTGGCAGAGGGCACCCTCCGGGAAGCTCCTCTGTCCTCCTACGTCTCCATCAACTCCGACACTGGTGTCCTGTATGCACTGTGCTCCTTCGACTATGAACAGTTCCAAAACTTGCAGCTACAAGTGATGGCACATGACAGCGGGGACCCTCCACTCAGCAGCAACGTATCGCTGAGACTATTTGTGCTAGACCAGAACGACAACCCGCCGGAAATCCTCTTTCCTGCTCTACCTACGGATGGTTCCACGGGGGTGGAGCTGGCACCCCGCTCCGCAGAGCCCGGCTACCTGGTAACCAAGGTGGTGGCGGTGGACAGAGACTCAGGCCAGAACGCCTGGCTGTCCTACCGCCTGCTCAAGGCCAGCGAGCCCGGGCTCTTCGCGGTGGGGCTGCACACGGGCGAGGTGCGCACAGCGCGGGCCCTGCTGGACAGAGATGCGCTCAAGCAGAGCCTGGTGGTGGCAGTGCAGGACCATGGGCAGCCCCCTCTCTCTGCCACCGTCACGCTCACGGTGGCCGTGGCTGACAGCATCCCAGATGTCCTGGCCGACCTGGGCAGCCTGGAAGTCCCGCAGGA